GCGCGCCCGCCCCCCCCCCCCCCCAGACCAAACCTGGCAACCCAGAGGGTTAGCATAGCTGACCCCACCACCCTGATAAACATCACAGCCATTACACACAACTGCTGCTCAATTAGAGCTGCGCACTAACAGACAGAAATGCACGGCACTGTAACACATGTTCACACACACACACACACACACACTCACACACACTAACACACACACACAGATATGTCTAGACCGTACAGCTGCAATGAGTCCTTAAATCTTCATTAGGGAAGTCAGTTTACAAAAGTGCTGCTGTAATGGCTGAATTTGTCTAATATCTTCCTAAACACACACACACACACACACGCGTACATGTACATGTACACACACCGACACACACCTGACTCGTGGGTGGCAGCAGCATTGTTTCACTGCGCTCTTGTTGTGTGTGTGTGTGTGTGTGTGTGTGTGTGTGTGGTTAATGTGCTCAGTTAAGCTGAGGTTAAAACAACACAGTAAATGACTGCAGTATGTGCTGCTCACGCCGTCTGTTGTTGGTGTGTCTGTTGTTTGTGTGTCTGTTGTTGGTGTGTCTGTTGTTTGTGTGTCTGTTGTTTGTGTGTCGTCATGGTCACGCGGTGCCACAAGTCCAGTGTAGATGTGCATTAATGTAGCGTTTCTCTATGAACCTACATACATTTACAGTCAATGTAGCAATAATAAAATCAATAATAAAATCAATAAAAAAATCAATAATAAAATCAATAATAAAATCACATTTTATTAAAAAAATGAGTTTGAAGCTATTACTATTTAATTAAGGAACAACCGGAGAAGCAAAAATGTCAGCATGAAAACAGTTAGCCAATACAGTTAGCCAAAACAGTTAGCGTAGAACGAGCTAAAGAGAGGTTAGCCAAAACAGTTAGCCAAAACAGTTAGCCAATACAGTTAGCGTAGAACGAGCTAAAGAGAGGTGAGAGTTTGCAAAACGTTACAGAGACAGAAAAGGAGTTCAAAGTTCAAAAGAACAAATGATAAACAATTATACCAAAGTTAGCAATAAAAGGCAAACGATAACTAGCTAAAAAGCTAAATTGATAAAGGTTAGCCAAGATGAAAAACAACAACAACAACACTGGCTTGGACGGAGAAAAGATGAAAACATAGATGAGAATTTACTAGAATAAATTCAGCTAAAAATTTAGTCAAAATGTTTAAAAGGAGAAACAGTTAAAAGCTAACATAGCTATAGCTAAAGGTTTGCCTAAACATGGCAAAAAGTAAAGACGACCAAAAGAGATATTGAAGTTGATTTAAAAAGCCTAAAAATGTGTTGTTTCTGAGATTAAAAAATTAAAAAAAAAAAAACAAAACAATCAAAGCATCTGAAGCTAAAACGTATTTAACTTTAAGAAATAGATAATAATAATAAATATATATATATTTAAAAGATTGATTTTCCACATTGGCTGAACCAAACATTTATATCACACAGGATTTTTTTCTTCTTCTTTTCTTCTGTAAAATCACACTTGAACACAGCTGTGATTCACGGCTGCAGTTTCTCCCCCGACATCGACGTCTCATTCTTCAGCCACAACATTTTCCCTTTTCTCTGCCTCCCTCTGTCGACGCCCTCACCTCTCACTGCCGCTGTGTTCCACGTACATTACCACTCTGCCCTACATCAAATTCTATACGGATTTCTCTTTATTCTAAACACACACACACACACACTTACAGGGAGTGTCAGAAACAAACACACACACACCTTATTCAACACGTGTAAGCAGCTCTCACTTCTTAAAGATGAGACACGAAAATGAGGCCCCTGGGTTTTCTGCTTCAAATGACTCATCCTGACAATCTTTACAGAATCAAACACTGACGCTGAGATCTCACCAGGGAGCGTGTGCGTGTGTGTGTGTGTGTGTGTGTGTGTGTGAACATATATGTTTCCAGGAGATGCTGAGGGAAAGTTGGCAGAGATGTGAGAGTTGGATTTCATTAACGACTTAATTGCTTTTCACACGGCGTTTGACGAAGGCGCTTGGCTTTGATAGCGTCGCTGAAACGTCAACATTTGTGAATGTTTATCGCAAACTTCAATAATGAGTGGATTTATCTGTGACGACGGTCGATGTGTGGAATCGTCACGTTCTTTTTTTTACAAAATCACGTCGTTATTCTTTAATTGCTCTCTTTTAAAAGTCAACGTCTGCCAGCAGAAAAAAAAAAACAAGGAACATAATGAAATCACAATCTTGTAGCTTTCTTTCCCCCAGACCAGTAGGTGGCAGTAAGTGCTCATTTGAAAACCCTTTTTCCACAACTTGTACATAGATTTAATACTGTAAACTTTTTTCCTTCACAAAAATAAG